TGCTCCATTTTTTAAAAAAACCTAGTGGTATCAGCAGCACACAACACGTATAGTTGAGAAATCGCCTTCCATACCATATCAGTAGTAGGATTTCTTCCCCTAAAATTTATACCTGGCCATCATCCTGAAGTATTCATTTCCCATTTATAATTGCTGGTTTAACACAATTTCAACTTTACTAAACTCAAGAGTAACAGCATGTTCCTTCTATCTGGCAATCGAATGCCTCTTCACAATGCCCAAGAAAAATGTGTGACCCAACTATAGGATGTTAGCATTGACAACACGGGGGGGTGGGGGTTAATTCCTATTCAATACTGAAGGAAACTCTTAAGTTAGACCACGAGTTACTGCCCATTATTTCAGTTTAAACTGTATTTGGGATAATCTATAAAATAGACGATTTGTGTAACCAGTATATTTGCTTTTTTACTCAAGCTTCAAATATTTACTCGTAGAAAGATTTAAATCAAGCCGTCAATGGAACTAAGCATTCTGCTTACCATGCAAGCATATTTTGTTGTCTAAATGTCAGAGTTCACCAGTATATAACCAATATTCTTCGTAAGCCTTTCATTCTGTGGCACGACTTAAAAGACACAGCGTTCAGTTTATAGGCCAGATTCCAGTAAACAAGTACATTTCACAAACCGGTTAAACAACTGGTTTAAGAGGATGGTTTGCTTAAGGAGAAGAGAGCAGCTAGTTTTGGCTTTGCTCCAGATAAATATGGTTTGCCAAGAAATTTTCTCATGGTAAGAAAGCTAGCTAAAAATAGTAGGTTGCCAGGTGTAGCATTTAGTATGAAACAGAAACGGAGTGGGGATGACTAAAGAAATTAGTACATTAAAACCCAGAAGATTAACCCTATGTGTAGATCGTACTGCAGTGAGGGTTAGCCCAGAGAAATTACTACTTATGCTATTGAGAACAGCCAGTGAATGCATTAAACAAACCTTTGTAAGCTTTCAGGATTACATCATTCTGAACTTGCAACCGACTGCATCACAGTCTTTGGATCATTTTTAAAGTGTCCATTTGAAATCTGACAGTAGAAACATGCTTAAACCTCCACACATGTTAAATGGACCACTGTTCTGGCTAATGTAAACATTCTGATGAGTATCCAAAGATATGACCTCTATGTGACCCCTTAACCTTGCCTGTAATTATTTGTTTGAAGACAGTATGGAGTTCCCATGCTGAGAGGGGGACTATAATGGCTTGCAGCTCTGTGTGCAAGTGTGTATGAGGGAGCAAGAGAGACCTATAATAAGGAGACTACCAGATGTAAATAATAAAAATGGTTGGGGGTAAAAAAACTAGTAATTTAGTTCAGCCCATTACTTAGAGAATGTCATGGAGAAATGAATGGGGGAAGGGAAAGAGGAGGGGTGCATTACTCTGTGATGTGATACAGGGCCACGTGAAGCTTCCTTCTCATCTCCAGAGCTTTTTTTTGTCATGTGCACACACCATTAGCAGCTCTTGGGAGGAGAGAAAACAGTCTTATCTGCCTCGTCTGATAATCTCAATTGGCTGTATTCTGATTGATAAAAGGGAGTGTAGCTACAGAGCTTTGAATCAACTCCCAATGGGACACTGCCCATTAGCCTGCCAGTGAGACTAGTACTAAGAAGGTTAGTACGCTCAAAATGAGCAAGCACGGACACCAAAAGATCTAAAGCATCATTTACGCTACACCTAGAACCCTTTTGAGTACTGACAGTCCTATGCACATCTTTTCTTTCACTTGACATCTGAAAAAGTAACCCGAGAATTTCAAAAGGCAACATTTTACAGTACACAATAGAATTAAAACAGGATACAGAACCACGGGATGTTACTTTGTTTACGGCGTTGTATTTTTTTTTAAAAAATTGTTACGCATTTACGTTTTGGAACACCAGACCTCAAATGGTTAAATTTGGATTTGTTCTCCCTTTTCCAGCTGTTTCAAATCAAAAATGTGCAGTGTAAACAGTGCAAATGAATGTACTCATGCATTGGATCATAGTGCAAACTCGCAGCTCCTAATGTCGTTTTTAAAGGCAATCATCCTGCAGGGAGGGTGGGGAGGCACCATTATACTGATAACAGGTTAGAGCAGTCTGAGCCCTGCCACAGTGAAAGTGTCAGCTCAAGAAAACGTCAGCGATGGCTGGCCAGTGCAGTGGTGAGGCACTGCTAAGGAACATCTGGCACCAGAGTGACAGGCTTCAGCATTCCTTTCCCCCCCCCTCCCCAATTTAAAAGTTCCTGATCTTAACCCTCCTGCCAATGGCTGCTCGCACAGCCTGCCCCATAGAGAGCATGGAAAGAAAATCACATGGGTCGTCTCAAATCAGGCCACGATCATGGCTGGTCAATTTTAGCACTGGTCCAACATGGTAACAATAATAAAACGTTTTTATGCATAGTTTCAAACACCCAACATTTTTTTTAAAAGAGCCAAGTTTTTTCACAGCCAAGTTACCTCGATAGTTATGCAGATCTCTACTCTTCTGCATTCATGAGCAGATGTTGGGAACACTATCTGTCCTATCTGTATCTGGTCACCAAGGAGTGCCTAGCACACCTTTTCTACCCAGGAACTGGGAGAATGGGCCTTGAGCTCACTCTAGTCCCACTCTGCAGCAGTGGTTTGCAGCACCATCCTACTGATCCATATTAACAAAATACTATTACATTACCCTTTACTCTCCTCCTGCTGTCACTTGCACTACACTTGCTCAGTCAACTGAGAGGGTGGAACACAGACTTGTCCATGGTTGCCATGAATGCCTTTCGCAGATTGGGCAACGGGAGATGCACTTCGGGGCAATTGCAAAGTGTGCCATCTGGTGGCTTGACTGTGAATTGGCAACATTTCAAACATTAGCCAAAGATGGGTCCACAATTTGGGAATCAATCCTGACACGGCTAGAGCAACGCAACTTCCTCTATAAAAAAGTGATCATCACACAAAAGCTTTATTTTTATTATTTCAAGATTGCAGATTTATAAACAGGCCGAAAAGTCTACCAAATTTAGATGGATTTCTGTTCCCTCTAATCTGTCCAATTACACATGGCATTCAAACCTGCCCACAAAGCCAATGAGCGCATCCAAACCTTGGTTGCCTCTCTTTCCACCAGATAATATCAAATCACATATCATGCAGATAAGCTGATGCTGCAGGCTATTTACTCCGATTCTTTACAGCAGCAAGCATGCAATGCTAGTGAGTTTGAATATAGTTTGAGATTGAACTCACTTCCCTCTTCAATTACAAAAGGGTCTACATCCATATCTGAACAGGATGATTTTATCTAAGCTCGCTGTGGAACAGCTGGTTTGTTTCCCAGTGATTTGATTTAATGAAATCTGTAAATGCATGTTGCAAAGAGAGTTTCACCATTCCCCTGAAGATCAGTGGCTCTCTTCAGTTGCTTAACTAGTTTTAATGCCTGAAGCAGGCTTTTAGCTGGAGCTTAGGCAATACTCAGAGCTGCGTTGGGTGACATTTTTGGATAACAATGATACAATGAATTGGGGGCATTCGTCTGACATTTGTATGTTCACAGAACAAATAATTCATAAATACTTCAGAAACATCAGCAAGACTATCGAATTATGCAGCTTCCAGTTTGAACGTTTGTGCTTACTTTAAAAGTAATGTTATTTGACCATAGCAATGCGAGCTCAGAAGTCCTTCATGGGATTGAATTTTTGTTTCCTGGTTCATTGTGATCCATTTCTCCCCTTCCCCCTGTATCACAGCTATGAGACATTTGTTACATGCCATTTGAATGAGTTATATTCCTTGAACTGAGTTGGTCATAAAAGTAATGGAGTATCCTGGCTCCATTTCAAATTCAAACTTTTGGCCTCAGCATAGAGATTAACATTTTAGGTAGTAAGAAATATGACAGTCTTTTTTCCTCTCTTTTTGTATACATGTGTCAGGGTGGGTGGGGGGGGGTGGGAGCAGTGGAGAGAAGAATAGCAGCTAAATTAAATCCAGGCTTATGAATAATTTCACATAATCGTTGTAAAGTGGTGCCTTTAATTTTAGAGAGTGGAAGGCAGCAATTTGATGATAGCGTCCACACTTTAACAATGACAGGCTGGCAAAAGAAAAATCGTGGATTGTCACAGTTTTTAACAAGTTTTATTGTGTGGGTTTTGCAAAGTAAACAACCCATTCATACGATGACACTTAAATTTCCCAGAAGCATATTATTTGAAAAGATTACAACAGGTTATTTATTTGCTCAGTTATTTGTAAAGAGGATTTGGTTTGGAAAAGAAAGCAATTGCTGACAGCCTAGGCTGTTTTAATACCGCAAAAATAGAAATAAAACACAACAATAAACAATAACCGCCTGCATACTTTGTTTCCAGACCTGAAACAAAGTTTTTTTGGAACCTGTAGAAAATAAACACTATGGTTCCAACATCTTTTAGTACCCACATTTCTGATGGGCATTTGCCTTTTTTCTGCCCTGGGTGTCAAAATCTTGGTTGAAAAGGTCACTGTTGCCAGTCACTAACCTCTAAATGACCCCCCTGACTTTACAGTCTAAAACTGCAGGAGCTGCGATTGAGCAGGAGCCTTTCTGTACCAGCACTTATTTGCTGCTGTGGTGATAAAACTTCAGACAGCCTAATTGATGGGCTTGCTGACATAACAATACCTTGTGAAAGCAGAGAGTGGCAAAGCCTGGTCCTCATTTATGGACAGCTGGAAGGGGAGTTGCACCCCCTATGATGAGAACGCAACCCATTTGAGGCAATGAACTTTTACCATGTTTGTGCCTCTTACAGCAGGCAATCATTGTTGCTTAAACACTTGAAGCTTAAAATGTTTGAGAGTTTTTTTAAAAAAATACAAGTAGCAATGTACACTTTCTGAACACCTTCAACAAGTTGCAATTCTGAAATGATGGAAGTTCTCAAATCACAAAACGATGAAAAATGTACCTTTTTTTTTCCTCCTCCCTGTTTACGTTTTTCAGGTTCATTAACGCCAGAAGAAGAATAGTACAACCCATGATTGACCAGTCAAATCGAGCAGGCAAGTCCCAAGTAGTAACTGTATTCAAGTCCCACAGGCGCAAATCCTCATCAAGTTATTCTTCAGGAATTCCTTCACCTGGTAAATAAACTGGCAGCCAGGCATTCTGGGGAGCTTGTGGTCCCAGAATTCCAGTGTTGGGAGCAACCTCACTAATTGGTGCTAATTGGAAATCTTCCACCCTCACTTTACTGAAGCTGCTTTTATTTGTAAAATGGGCAATTGGGCACATGTCTTTACACCTGAAGCAGCATGTTTTGTGTGTGTGTGCGTGTGTTTCTGCTGCTGCTCCTGATTCTTTGCTTCTCCCCAGCACTAATGCCTTCCTTGCTATCACAACTCCTTGAAGCAAGCACTTATTTAGTTCAGTGGTGCTAGTGTTTACCACTATTAATGATATCTTCACCATTGTTTAAATGATTCCAGTTAGAGCTCATCTAAACACAGATAAAGAAGCTGCATATTCTGTTCACCGGGTCTGTTTTGGCTATTTGAACGGGACATCTAATTTCCTGTTTGCTTGTAAAGTACATTCTTCCAACAGTTTTATCTGGCATGTTATAACAATGCTTTTGTTTATGAACCCCATTGGAAAATCTCTAAAAATAGTCTGATTTGATTTCCCAAAAATCTGAGTTTCATTTTGTTACTGTCTCTAATCAAAGGCTTACCACGGAGTTGTGCTTTTCTGCAATGGTTTGGGAAAACGCCTTTTCTAAATATTGGTGGTAATTTTTGTCATTCTCGGGACTCTTATTCAATGGTAATTTCTGCCTGCTGCTTTGCTTAAGATGTTATAAACTGTTATTTATGTGAATTTTACACATGTCCAAAGTGCTCCTCTCTGGCCTTTTAGTGTAACTTTACAATTTTGAAAAAAAATAGCATAGTGTGAAACCAAATAAAAAGGCCAAACACTTATCATAAACATTTGTTATGAGTTTATTTAAAGGGAAAGGAGTAAGCCTGACTTCTGTTTAATATAACCCAACAACATTCTTACAACATGAGATGTTTTGTAACCTAATTACACAAATACATTGACATAGAGTTACAATAGAGTGATACTGCACAGAAACAGGCCATTCTGTCAAACTAGTTTGTGCCAGTGTTTATTCTGCGCATGAGCACCCACCTCTTCCCCTCACTTTTATGCCTCTGTTCTCATGTGGTAACACTTTTAGCCAGCTTTATGTTTATTTTATTAAAATGAATTGAATAAATACATTAATATTTAGGGCAGAGTGCCCTCATACTTAGGGCACAAAACAAAAAAAACTACTGAGTCAACATTTACAGTTATTTATGGAGGAAAAGCAGCGTGACCATAACCAGCCAATTAATGTCTACATAATGAGATAACAGACTGCATACAAAAGAGAAAGTAGCCCAGGATAAAATAGATGACAGATCTTAAAGGCTTTGGGGAGGAGCGATCCAGTCTGTAGATGATGCCTTACCTCACTTCATGCTAGCCTAACAAAAGGCACCTGCTATTCGCACCTTTAAAATGGTGCGGCCATTCAACCATTTTAACAACCATTTTAAATGTAACCACTTTAAATGGTTACATCTGTCAGGCATAGGGAGTCAGAGCCAGAATGGTTAAAAGATAGATACTAAAAGTAATCGATAATGGTGCTTTATATGAATGTTTCTGCTGTTTTGACAGTGTTTACTGTTTCAGTCGGAGCTGGGACGATTGCTGATTGTTTGGTGTGTCTTTTTTTCTTTCTCCTCTGTGTCCTCGTTTGACTACAATCAGGTTTTCTTCTTGATCCTTCAGTGAGCCAAGGAGCAGCATACAGTCCAGAGGGCCAGCCAATGGGAAGTTTTGTATTGGATGGTCAACAACACATGGGAATTCGGTCTGCTGGTAAGCCATTGCACTCTTTCACACCCTAAATATAGCCTCATCACCTCCTCTATCCCTCCCATCCACTTCACATACCATGTCCCACCATAACAGGGTTTCCTCTTCTGCCTGCTGCCTGCCTTGCCTGTCTTCTTTGCACCCATGGGGAAACAAATCTTTCAGACAAAGAGATTTGTAAGGAATTTTCCGCCCCACAGATCCTAAAATACAAAAATTATAAGGGATCTATTTCACCATCTCGGTAGTCGACCTTGCTGATTTTCTGGCATCTTCTTGGATTTTATCTCCTTTCTAGGACCTATGAGTGGAATGGGCATGAATATGGGCATGGATGGGCAATGGCACTACATGTAACCTTCATCTAGTTAACCAATCGCAAAGCACGGGGGAAGTAAGTACGATCGGTTACTATAATACAATTTTTAATTTTATTCCCCCCATTTTATCTCCTTGCCCATACTTGCATGCTGTTCCAATGAAAGGGCCAGTTGTAATTCTTTATCTCATGACATTTGACACCATTTCACAAGCTGAAAAGGTCAGCTAACTAATTTACAGTATACAGAGCAAATAGGCCTGTAATTCGGTTTAATTATGAAGCCTAGAGAACCAAACTCAACCAGCGAATGAACAATTGGGACATTTAAGGGAAAAGAAACATCTTGAGGGCACCAATTGACTGAGAGAAATTAACCAGGCTTCATGAAGCGATAAAAACGAGAAGTGAGACTGTCCTTTGAGTGACATAAATCTGTCAGGAGACGATTGATGCATGAATTATCTTATATGCAAAGATGAAATGCTGTAATTCACAATCCACTCTCTGGATCTATGGCACTGGTGACACAATGCATTCCACACTGGGAATTCTTTTCCTGTTTCTCATTTTTTTATCCCTCGACTCCCTGTGTGAGTTAAAATAACAAGAACATTTAAAAATGACTACAAACAGACATAAAAAAGACTGCAATGAAGGAATGGATTTTTTTTTCGTGGAGTTAATTGGCTCCAGCCTAAATGATCCATCAAGGAGAGTATATCCAATGCGTATGATGTTTGAAGAATTTCAGATCCAGAAAACAGCAATATATCACATCACTTGAAGAAACAGAGCATTCGTTTTTTACTCAATAACTTAAAATCTTTGTTACCATTGAGCTTAATGCTTACATTTGAAAAAAAATAGAAGGCTATTTTATTATTAAATAATTTCCAATCATTTTACACTAAAAATTCTACTGTGTTTTAGCCACAAAAAAAATATGACTTTCCCTGCAGTCACTTAACTTGACTGGATTGTTTCAGATATGTAAAATAATGGTTACATTTTCATGTGAGATCTTTGAGGAGGTCACTATAGCAGATTACTGATGGAGTCAATTTCCTTCCTTCCTTCCTTCACTAATGCAGTCAAAAATGTAAAAAGCAATGTTCCCTAAAACAGCCATTGAGACAACATTTTCTCAGCTTGGATAATTCTTAATATAGGCAATATAATTTCTGGCCTATTTAATTACATAACATATTTTATGCTTCATAACCAATTACATTAATAGCTTAATACAGGCAATATTATCCTTCTTTTATTTGATTATGCAGCCACACAATATGGTATATTTGGTACTTAATTATCATCATCCAGTGAACATGCCGCTGTGCTAGAATAAACAGAGCTGAGTCGGACTTATTACACACTGCAGACTGTATTATTGTCTCAGTATGGTTTTACCACTGCAGTTAATAATGTACTGCAGATCCACTTAGAACCACAAGAGCTTATGAGTCTTTAGATTACCGGCTTACATTGTAGGAGAGAAATCTGCTCTGCAATTCTGTTGGTAAATGCCAGCGGATAAATAGAAGTAACCTTAATTATCTCACATTTAGTTTGAATTGGAAAATATCTAGATTGAGTTATTTATATGTATATATATATTATATATGTATATATATATTTAAAAAACTCTGGCTTATGCTGTGATCTGATTAACTGATTTTTTCTGCTGTAGGCAAACTTCCCACGCTTTTTCTGAGCTACAGGTATGCAGCACTGAGCATGCTCTATGACCTAGCATTTGCCCTCACCCTTTTACCCAACTCAAACCACATTCAGTAAAGGAGGGAATGAGATGCAATTTCCCTTTTTTTATGGAAGCCTGAAGAGATTATTTACCTTCAAGTGTAACTCTTTGGCATTGCTATGCTTTATGTGTGAATGGAAGAATTCCCACTGCTGCAGATTTCTCGTGTGCAGATGGTTTACTTGGTCTTTTACTCTGTTTCTCTAATGATATCTTCTCTGGTTCTACTTAATCGTCATTACTCTGTCGTCCACTGTATTTCCTCTCTGAAACCTGATATATATTTGGTGACATGAACCAATGAATTTCACATGACCTTGGAGTGAAATCAAATGCATAGTTATTACATTCATCATTGTAACTACATTGACTACGGTGATTTAGAATTAAATGTTTGTGAATATGTAATGAGTAGCATATGTAATATGTAATAAGCATCAATTTTAATGTAACTTTTACATGTGCCAAGACATGTGTGTTGGCATATAATAGAACTAAACATATTTGCAAGCAATTATACAGTAGAATTTATTTTTAGCAAATGACTTTTACAGCTATCTGAAAGTGCTAACCTACTATAAATTGTTACTTGTGTCTTTGCAGGTTTACAAGGCATGCCAGGGGACTTTGTATCTCAGGGTGGTCCTATGGGTATGAGTATGGCACAGCCAAGTTACACTCCTCCCCAGATGACCCCGCACCCTGCCCAGTTAAGACACGGACCCCCAATGCATTCATATCTCCCAAGTCACCCACATCACCCAGCCATGATGATGCATGGAGGACCCCCGCCTCACCCTGGAATGCCAATGTCAGCACAAAGCCCCACAATGTTAAATCCTGTAGACCCCAGTGTGGGAGGACAAGTTATGGACATCCACGCCCAATAGTATAAGGGAAATAAAGAAAAAAAATGTAAGACTTTAAACTTTGAACAGATGTTGACACTTAATGGAATTCCAGACGAGATGTGATTTTTTTTCTTTCAACATCAAGCAGAGGACCAACGGCACGAGCCCAGGCTATTGTGAAGTCAAAGGCTTTCTTCACGTGAACTTACCTTCAATGTAACGTTCCTCTGGAAAAGACTGAAAGATTTATTACTACTGTAGTATAAATATAGGAACTAAGTTAACTTGTACATTTCTGTTGATCACTCTATTTCTGTTGCTTCCAATAGTTTTTAGAAAGAAAGTTATCCTTTTTCCACACTATGTGTGTTGTTCCCAAAATGGTTGACCTCGAACAGCAATGGAGCCATGTTACAGAACGGACTGTGCCCACTCTAGCCAACTTGCCATAGAGGAAAAAGCTAAGGTGAAGAAAATGTAAAGGCTTTGCTGGATGCGGCCAGAAGCAAAGGTTTTAAGAATGTGCTCACATACCTGATTTTACTGGAACAAAACGTGCCCTGTAGTTGCAAGGCCTATTCAGGGTGAAGAGCCCAAGTCTGATCATGTTTTGGAGGTGACTCTTCTTCAAAGAGCTTGTTGATGGAAACCTGAAGGTGAATTAGCAGCTTCCTTCTATGGCTGTGGGCCATAGTATTGAGGAAAAAAANCGTTGTCACATGAACATAAACAGGCAACGGTGAATGAATGCTCTTGGGCAGAATTTTCTTAGTGAAAGATCCTTTTGTTGGTCTTGCACCAAAAACAGAGACCTTTTTAAATGAACTCGAATAAACTGCTTGGAACAAGCAAGAAAAATACTGTAACATACTTCGTACAGAGAGTTCAGTATATTAATTGTTACATGTTAGATATCTATGTGTTTACCTCAATGAGAAAATAACGAATGTTTTGCTAGTATCAAATCTGCTGTGGAATTGGTATTGTATGTCAATGAATTCCTTACTTTATCAGCACGTGTCACTAGAGAAAAAAATGCTGTTTCCCTTGCGAGCTTTGTCAGATTACATAAATACTTGTATGAGGACTGTGACGTATGTTTAAAAGGTGTTCAGTCACAAAATGCCGTAATAAATATTTCATTTTTAGATTTTTTTTTTCTGTTTGATAACACAAACTGTATGGCTTCAGCTTTCTTGGGACTCACCTCCACCAGTAAGATGCTGCTAGAGAGAGAGAAAAAAAAACAAGGAATCGAACCCTTAGGGGTGGGTTTTTTCTTAAAAAAAAACCCCAGTCTGCTTCATTTTGCCCTTGTTTTTTTGCTTACAAAAAAAAACACACCCCCAACCTCACAAGTCGAAATGCTGCTGTATAAGGCTCCAAACAGAAACAGTTGGGGCTGTAGTTTGGCCAAGGCGGTGAGTGACATTAAAACGATGTGTACGCGTTGCTGCAGATGTGTGTGTGTGTGTGTGTGTGCAGCCACTGACCTAAATACAAAAAGGGACGAGGATCTCAGGTCCCAGCGTTGGGAAGAAAACCACCATCAATAAATGTGAGCCACGTGAAAGTCGGGAGGTCGATTCTAACAAGAGTGAAGCATGTCACAAGGGTGTGGGTTGGTTGGTTTGTGTGTTTGGTTTTATTTAACATTAAGAGAAACCCCCCCCCCCCCACCACCACCCCACCCCCCACCCCACGAGCGTCTTCGTTGCATTGCACAACATTGAAAATGTTTCACGCGAGTTGTTTTTTTTTTTGCATCAACACCCAAACGGTGAGAAAGTGCGGCGTTTCACGCTGTTCGAAGTGAACTCGTGCGTTTTTATATAATATATATATGAGCAAATCTTGCTGACAGGTAATGCAACACAACAATCTTCAAAGTTCACCAACTGCTAGTCGCCACACAACAACAACAACAACAACAGCAGCATTGCAAGAGCATATTGCACACCGTGTTCACATTCCTCTTGAAACATTTGATGTTACTGTCAAAGACTCATTCTTAGGTTAGTCTGAAAACAACCCCACTTTGGTGCAGTGGTCAGGCAGGCACACGGCATCCGTAAAAGGCAGTGAGTCTCCACTTTCCGCCACAGAGCAAACCTGGATGCTCCTGTCAAGTGTGGTTTATTTGAAATAACTGAATCTATTATAATTAAAAAGAAAAAAAAACTAGGTGAGTGTCTCCCCCCCCCACCACCACCACCCTCCCACCTCCTCCGACTGCTCCAAATGGTAGAGAAAAGCAACGCGTATGTATAAAGTGTGCAAATCAGATTGGCCAGTATTTGAATAGAGTTGTAATGTATTTAAACCCTGGGGTTTTCCCCACCCACCTTTGTTTACAGAGCTTCTTATTAAAGTTTATAAAAAAAACACAGCGTGGATTGATAAACATTAAACAAAAATGTGTGTACAGAGAAGGACTTTTTTTATATTAGAAATGGTTTGTACTTGGATGAACATTTTAGGCATGTTGAAATCCTTTCAGTTTTATCCTACTTGTATCTTGAAGCGTGGGGTACGTTGTAATTTTGTATTGTAAGACATTGCAAACTGAAAATCCAAACCTCGTTTACCGTGTGATTTCTTCCTTTTTTTTCTTTTTTTTTCCCCCCAAAAATCGAAAGTTTTCCGAGGGTTCCTTCGACTCTTGCTTTTCGGGTTAAAAAAAAGGGTCGCGTTTCATTCGCAGTTTGTAGCTCAAACAAAAGTCATTCGTTCAAATGCAGTTTCAGTTAATGCAGCTCTTCAATACTCTCTCTCTCTCTCTCTCTCTCTCTCTCCCCGTGTGTTGTCAACTACATGCGATCCTCACGGCATTGCTTTCTATGAAAACTTGGATTTTTAGCGGTTAATCTTTGATCTGAATGTCCAGAAATATTTATAAGTCGGTTCCCTATTCCTGGTCTCTTCCCAAAGGCACTTATGAGCTTCCTTTCGCCTGTTTAAAAGAGGTGGAAGCGGATTTTATAATCTTGAAATTTTCCAATTCAATCCCCTTGAGTCAGTTAAGGCGGAATGTTCGATTAATTGTGTAAATTACTCCATATATTGCACTAGGACAATTTTCCTTATTTTAAATAAATAATTTAGGTTTCCATTTCTATTAAATTTAGCATCCAGAAGGTGGATTCTTTTTTGTAATACCATGCAATAACATGCAACAGAGAGGCGAGCCTGTGTACAATCCTCCTCTGGTGTTTGTAAACATTCTGGTTCCTTTCTCCTTAACTTAGTCAGTGTGTAATAAACTTTTTGAAAACTTAAAAAAATCTTAAGTTTTGTTGCTGTTAACGCCTATTTTGAACAACGGCTGTGGTTTAGTTTAAATATAGGCTAGTTGGTATTTTTTGTTGCAATGGTTGGTCTTAACCTGAAATTTCTGTGCTGTTTTAGTTATAATTTGTTAATAAATTAAAGTAATCAGAATGCATCGTCGTTTTTGTACGTGGAACATCTCGGAAAATGGGATGCAATTCGCCTGTAAAATGTTGAATGAGATAATGTGGAGGTTTTAGAGTGGGTGCTTTGTGCGTGGAGCTTAATGATTAGATGAATTGTGAAATGAGCAACTGGGTGCCCCGTTTAAGGCTGAAAGGGGTTTATTGGCCTTTTTTTTGGCTTTTGCCTTTAAAGTCACAAAGAATGATCGATAAACGCCCTGAAATTCTACCCCTCTATGCCCTTGAGCATTCTATACCCGATTCGGTACATAAATATTTTTCAACGCTAACATCTATCTATATAAAATAAATAATTTGTATAGCAAATAAATAAGACTATAAATTGTACTTTGCAAATGAGAGGCTGTTTTATTTGTTTAACAAACAAACCAATCCACACAAAAAAAAACCTTGGTGTTGCCTGAAATCATTTAATTTAGTTTTGAGGAAGATGGCAAAATTATTCAGATTGTACCCCACCAATGTAACACTGAAAAGTTTTGGGGCTGGAGAGATTTTGCATCGACTCCAGTGTTATATATATTCTTAAAAAAAACAATTGATTCAAATGAAACAACCAGTCCACCTAAAGTAATTTAGAAGAAAAATCTATAAAAATAAAAATCCCAAGAAAAAGTTATTTACATAATTGACTATTGGAAATCCAAGACTATATATATTTTATCACAGTAAATAAAATAAAGTGCGGTCTTCGGATTCAATTACTTAAATCGGTCCAAATAAATAAGCGTTGAAGGAACAAGGAATTGTAAAGTTTAGTTTTTTTTAAATAAAGAACGAGACTCCAGGTTTGTGTTTAGAGAAAAAGAAGATGGTAAAATCAACCGATGGGGTGGGGGGGGGGGGGAAGCAGTAAACTTGAACCGTGTGTAAAAATGTCTCTACATTTTGAATTTTTTACCAACCATTTTAGCTATAAACATGTTACTATGGAGATTCTGTGTATCCCAACCCCTAGAGCCCAGAGTGGGTCAGAGAAAACGCCGCTATTTCTGGAGATCATTTATCACTGTCACCAGATAATGATTCCCGCAGCAACCTCCTATTGATGTTTATAATTGCATTATCTCATATGGAATGATCAATGAAAATGGGAGCCAGGCATGGGATAATCAGCAAACGCCTGCAACAAAAAAACTTCTAGGCTCTTTTCAAATATACAAAAAAAAACTCTTTACAAACTCGATTCATGCCTGATCTCAATTTCAACCCAGTTTTTTTTTCAAATCCAAAGAGCTTTCTGTTTTACACGGCTCGGGAAGTCCTCGCGTTAAAAAAAAACCCCCCACCAATATACCAACAGAAGAAAACGAATCAATTTCGGATTGTGTTACCGCTTCTCACGGAAGTTACTGTATTACAAATTACCAATGAACGCTTTCTCTGAGCAAACTTATGCTTTATCTCATGGTTGCAAGTGAATCAATACAAATAAATGGTGGATTCCAGTTTTATTGTCTTTCCCCCACGACGTCTACCCCAAGTGTATGTGTGTGTGCGTGTGCATGATCACCTGAAATGTTTTTTTTTGCATTAATCTGTCACCTTTTTTTATTTCATGATCTGACAGTGTTCCTCTTTGTATTGTGTCTTTAGGTTTGCAGTAAATTGAGGCTTAATTTTCCGCGTTAAGACCGCATGCATCTCCCCTTTACATGTCCTGCAAGGCAAGGTTTAAAACTAATTCTGAATGAACGCAATGTTCCTATGTTACTAACCCAAATCGTGCTGTTGCGGCCGTTTAATCCAATCTAACACGATTTGCTCCGTTATATGGATTCCGCAAATATCTCAGTTGAACATCTTTCGCAAAAATAATACATCGGTATTTTACAACACGCTTTCTTCTGTACAGTTTTCCCTTACACTGAAATGAAAAGACATTCTTTGCAAAGTTACAAAAAAAAAGACAGTCAACGGTTTATCGTAACCCGTTGTGGTTTTCCTGGTGTGAAATCATTGCAATGTCGAAGAGATAAGTTTAGCCCAATTTTTAAGTCAAAGTCTTGCAAACAGTTATGAAGTCATGCCTAATAACATCGCATCTTATTTGCGTTCGGTTAAACTGATCTTGGCGCATGAACAAATGCAAACGCTTGAATTAAGTTTTGTCACATGCAGATTTCTGCTTTATTGTTAATGTATTGCACATGATTTTTTTTAACATCATCTATCAATACAGAAAATAAGAAATTCACAATTTGCCGAAGCTGTATATTACACAGTTATTGGCCATTGATTTTGCACTGTAATGAAGCTTATTTAATAGTTCTCCATTGTTCCGAGATGCATCGGGCTCGAAATTCCACCTGGTCTTAGCCTGCCAGAGTATTTTGTCTTCAAATGTAAGATTGTGCAGAATTAAGGATTTTTTTAAATAGAAAAAAATCAGCTTTAATGTGCAAGTCGGTTCGTTGTCAGACCTGCAGAAAGCCAGTTAACTTCCAGATCCAAACTGAATTTAGGATGTTTTCCACCAATCTGAAATTTAAGGCATAAAAATATTCACGAGCTGTGATGTGGACTAGATGGAAATTCAGGCCTAACGAGAGCTGGTGTTTTACCCGTTTTGTTTTGTTTCCCATTCATTTAGTCCTTATCTGGACGTGTATACAGACATCCCTTATCAGTTTCAGAATCACTTCCACCTCTTTCCACTGTACGGATTTCTG